AGGGGCAAGACCCTGAGAGATTGCTGAGCTACTGTTCTGAATGGAACCCAGTTCTGACCATTCTGTTTTGATGCCTTTAACTACACAACAAAGAAGTTGACAAAATTCAAACCTTCAGATTTCCTTCAACCAACCAGTTTTATCAGCTCGTGAAACAAGTTCATTGCTCACAGAGGATGGCAACAAAACAGATCACTTTGATCTTCATTTGTTTTTGATTAACTTCTCAGTTGTGCTGAGACAAAGCCAAGGGTTTGCTATTTAAAGGAAGTAATTTCTCATAGCCAATGAGGGGGACCAATTCTACAGATTGAGGAGTACCATTCGACATCAAACGTGGGGTAAGGCGAGGAGGAAGCTCTGCATGTGCTGCCTCAGCCAGAAGAGGGATTGTGCCTGCACTGCAACCAACACTCCTGTTACTGAGGTCATATTACTGTTCCTAGCACAGCTAGGAATTACTGGTGTCTTCGTCACCAAATGGCTGGGTTTGTACTTTCGGTCTAGCACTATACAGGCCCACAGGGTACCAGGATGTTTCCTGGTTCAGTTTCCAGTCTGCCCTGGATCAGACTGTTGCAGTAAACTACAACAACTGAACCCAGCAGAAAGAGAGTGAAACCAGTGTGTGACTGCTGCCCTGCAATCATACAGCCGTGCACAGTGTGATGGTGGTATGCACCTTGGCTATGTCATAACCCATGCCCAGCCGAGGTCCCGGAAATCTGCAGCCCTGTTTTTTCCCGCTGGCGGAACGTGGTTGGGAATTGAAATGTTTCCAAACAACCTCACATTTTGAGTGAAAACCTGGCTTTTATAAGACATGTTAGAGTGGGATCCTCATCTAACCAGCTCTCACAAACAGTCAATGCCAAAATGGTGTGATGGGGTTAGTAAGAGGTGAAGATAAATTTCAGGCTTTAAAATCAGCAGCATGTTAAAGACCACTGTGGATAACTGTTGAGTGGTGTTTTGGAAACTGCAAGACAACACACACACACACACACAAAATCCAACAGCAAGGGCGGGCTGCGAGATGGTTTAAAATCATGCAGAGTGGCTGATTGTGAAGCATCTGCGCACACTTCTTCACAGTTAGGCTTTTACCACAGGGTTAGTGCACACGTTCCACGGAAAGCTACACATGAAACAGTACAGCATAGAGATAATGGCATGTGCTGTTTTGGGTCAAATTGTGCACGGAGGTGAGTGGAACCGACCTCTGACCCAGATCTCCTCCTGGCTGCCTCATCTATGTCAAGGAGGTCCCCAAATCTGTCATTAGTGATAAACTGGTGATGTGTAAGAGCGATTCCTGTGTGCCTCCTGGCTGCAATATCTGCTTCCTCTTGTTCTCGTCTAAGCCGTCTCTGCTCTTCTAACAGTCTCTGGTAGAAAATCGCACAAAATGGGATTGTAAAAAGTTTTCCTTTGCTTATTTAAAACAGCGACACAAAAAAAGAAGCCTACTTTCTCTCGCCAAAAATATTCAAACATTTAAAAAAAACTGTGCGAGCGTGCAGAATCTAGCTTTAAGAAAAATTACATGCAACACAATGTCTATGGACGCAACCCATAAATCTCTTACAATGCTTGTTTTTGACTGGCGCAGACTCGATGGGCTGAAGGGCCTTTTTCTTATGCTGTAGACCTCTGGACTCTGAGTCCAATGCTCATGTTTCACCCACTTGTGATGAGATGGACAAGCACCCCCACTTTCTTCTGGTTTAATGCAGATTAGTGAGAAATACAATTGAAAGGCTCACATGACAAGAGAGTTGGGTGCAAACAGAAAATGACAAAGTTTATATTGAAACACACCACAGGCAGAACGGAGTTCCTCCAAAACCAGCCACATTGAAAGAGTAGATCCCTCCTCTGACCACGGGAAACAAGCAGTGAGACCGAGATACACTGGTGATTAATCCCCCAAATGCTTTTGTCAATATCAAGCATAAACACACAGCTATAGGCAGTGACATGCAGGTATAGTGCAGTGAGGTGGCCGTAAAGATCAACATTTCAAAAGATTGTCACAATCCCACTGCTTTTAGTGCAAAATCATTCCATGTTGAGGAGGAAAAATGACAATCATGCAGTACATAGGAATCACTCGGTAAGAAAAGACCCAAGTCCCTCCCATTTCCATGACAGACTCAATACATTGCTGCAAAGCTACACTTTGCACATGCCAGATTTTGGATAGCTCAGATAATGCATCCCAAACTGGTGCTCTCTAAAAATCCCTTTAATTTGTTCTTTAGTAACTGAGCACCAGCTGCTTCTATCATCCTTCGCAGAGAGTGTGTACCACTGCAATCAGTGGAATATTGTTTCACTGTACTCCTCTGGTTCTGATGCTTTGAACAAGGTGAAACAGCTGATCATTCTCGCCATTCTCTAACCTCTGTGCAACATTCAAAACCGGAAACATATCATCCCGCCCTTCTCTTCCCCAGGGAGACGACACCCAGTTAACATCGTTCCATCCTCTCACTCATGCTCATTCCTCTCCTCTATCCTTCCAACTTCTTCTATCTCCTTTTTATTGTGGTGAGCACAACCTTACACAATACTCTAACTGTGACCACAAAAAGGCAGGATTACCTCATTATCTCAACTCAATATTAACTTTTTACTAGATCCTAAATGATCACAGAAGGCATTCAATACAGATTTGAGGAAGATATACACAGCACAGGAAGGGCTCCCCTGACCCATTCAATCCATGCCAATGTTTCACCCAACTCTTGCCTCACTATCAAAATATCCCTCTCTTCCTTTGTTGTTGATGCGTTCCCCACAAGTTCACCATAAATGCTTCCATATGACTGACGTCAACCATTTCCTGGGACTACAGCTGTATGGAGCAGTTGGGTTCCAAATTTCTTGTTGGATTTCTTGGTGATTTTCTTATACTCATTTGCTCCTCCCCACAACAAGAAACAGTCTGTGTTCACTAAAACACTTGTATTTTTAATGACCTCTTTCTGATCATCCTGCTTGTTTCAAGAGAAAGAGTCTCAGTCAGTTTAACTTTCCTTCCAGTTACAACCAGTATTAGCTTTGCAAACACTTTTAATGTCTTCTCCCATGCCATTATACCCATGTTATAAGACAGCGACCAGAACTATACACAATATAGTCCAATTTTGGTGAAATCACTTTTCCATACAATATTTAATATAACTTCCCCACTTATGAATTTCAGCTGAGGAAGGGTCACCAGACCCGAAACGTTAACTGTTTTCTCCTTCACAGATCCTGCCAGACCTGCTGAGCTTTTCCAGCAACTTTGTTTTTGTTGTCGTATGAATTTCAGCTGCTTCACTTTCATAGATTCACAGAATAGATTATGGAAGCTGGCCATTCGGCCCATTTAGGCCACACTGATTCTTCAAAGAGCGCTCACTCCAAACAGACCCACACCCCCTAACCTTTCCTTTTGCATATTTCCACTATAAATTAACAAACATTTCAAATTAAACAATTTAACAAGAGGAGACTTTTTTTTTGGACTGTGCCAAATCAGATCATTGTTACCCAAATGTTCATTTTTCACAACATTTATTGTAGATTCTAGCAATGTTGTGACTACTGATACAAGGCTAACATGTCTCTAAATTTCTGATTTTCTCTTTCACCCCCTTCATAAATATTTGCAAACTTCAAACTGCAGAGATCATTTCAAAATCTATAACATTTTGGATGATGGTTACCAATGCATCATCTAGCTCTGCAGCCATCTCCCTCAACATTCTTGGGATGTAGACTATCAGACCCCAGAGACTTATCAACTTTCAGCCACATTAATTTCTCCAGGAGGCCCTTCTGAACCGATATTAATTTCCCTCAACTCCTCATTCTCCCTTGTCATTCGGATCTCTAATTCTGGGAGATTTCCTGCTCCTTCCTCTCTGAAAACTTACACAAAGTAATCGTTCAGCTTCTCTATACTCCATTATAATTTCTTCTGACTTTGCCTCTACTTTGCCAAGATCTCTTTACTTTAAAAGGAATTGAATTTCCACTCCATAATCTCTTCTGTAAAGGGAACCAAGCCAGCTTCTTTAATCTATCCACACAACTGAAGTTCCTTATCCCCAGAACCAGTCTCTGAAACCTTCAAGTGTGGTGCCCAGAACTGAATACGCAACCTCCACTAAAGGTTAGTCCAGTGTTTTCTGAAGGTTCACCATGATTTCCTTGCTTTTGCAATCTAAGCCTCTCTTATCAAGTTTGGGATCCCACAAGTCCTTTTAACCACTTTCTGTCGACTTCAACATTACGTGTATTTGTAGCTCCAGGTCCCTCTGTTCCTGGACTCCCTTTGGAATGTATTATTTAATTCATATCATCTTCTCCCAGGTTTCTTACCAAAATGCATGATTTGGCACTTCTCTGCATTAAAGATCAGTCACCACGTCTACCTTTTCCATTAGCCTATGTTCTCCTAAAGTCTCAGTACCCTCCTCGTAGTTCACAACATTTTCAAGTGTTTGTGTCATGGACAAATTTTGTAAGTGTGCCCTGCACAGCCAAGACTAAGTCATTAATATTGATCAAGAAAAGTCCCATGACTAAACTCTGAAGACCACCACTGTACATCAGCTTATAGTCTGAAAAATATCTGTTCAGAACTGTTCTCTCTTTCCTCTCACTATCAATTTTGTATCAATGTTGTCCCTCTTATTCCAGGGACATTGTCTTTCCTCACAAGTATGGCACTTTATTGAGCAATAATCTTCAAAAGGAATTGAAAGTACACTTAAAGTGGAGAAAACTGACAGCTCTATGGGGAACATATAAAGCGAATGTAATTGGATCAATTTTTCAGAGTAGTGGTATTGACATGATTGGCCAAACTGTACTGTTCTATGTGCACAGTCCTGTTAGATAATGGTCTGTTTAAACTGGGCTGTTGAAAGGGCAAAATTAGTTCATGGTGAATTTTGTAAAAATACAAATCTGACACCATAACAACAGGAATGGTCCACCAACCGGAATCTCCAACATTTCCACAATGACCACGGAATGCAGATATTACACATTTTGATTTTTTGTTGAGGCGACATTCCTGATTTAAATCTATTTATGTATGTTTTGCTGGTTTGTGCTTCTTTGCCCTTCATCTACCATCAAGGCGTGTTATAGAACTGATCACCATGTGCAGGTCATCTCTATAACCAGCATGGGAGCAATTCAGCAGGACAAGTTTGGAGCAATGCTAGTTTCTATGCCATGCATCTCTCTTCCACTGATTTATTGTTAACTCTAAAAGGCTTCATCATGGGTGTCTTTGTCATCTAGAACTAATACTCTTCCAATAACAGGCTCTCAAAAGTGTCATTACACAAGTTAAAGCACATCTTTTCCACTTCTCGCACTGTTGTAGTTATCTGATAGCCAGCACTTTTTATAATGATCTATTCCCGAATTCTGCCAGATAACACAAGTTTAATTGTATCGGCAGGTATTTGAACATACAACATACAGCACAGGAATGATGTTGTGCCGAACAGGACGCCAAATTAAATTAGTTCTTTCTGCCTAGCCTTGGTCCATATCCCTCCGTTCCCTGCATATTCATTTGCTTATCCAAAAGTCTCTTAAATGCTCCTATTGTATGCGTCCACCACCACCACTGGCAGACAGCTAGCACTCTTTATGTACAAAAACTTGCCCCTTGCATCTCCTTAGAACATTCCCACTCCCACCTTAAATGGGAGTTTGAACTCTGGGGAAAAAGATTCTATCAACCCTATCTATGCATCTCATAATTTTACAGACTTCCCTCTGCCTCCGCCAGATCAGAGAAAATAACCAGAGTTTTTCTAGCCTCTCCTCATAGCTCATACCTCTAATCCAGGCAGCATCCTGTTAAAACTCTTCTGCACCCTCTCCAAAGCCTCCACATCCTTTCTGTAATGTGGCGACCAGAACTGAATACAATACTCTTAAGTGCAACCTAACCAAAGTTTTATAAAGCCACAACATGACATCCTGACTCTTGTACTCAATTCTCCTACCAATAAGGCAAGTATGCCATATGCCTTCTTCACCATCCTATCTACTTGCGTGGCCACTTTCAGGGAGCGACAAAACTTGATTCCCAAGATCCCTCTGTACATCAGTGCTGATCAGGGTCCCGCCATTAACTGTATGCTTCTCCATAACATTTGATCTCACAAAGTGCAGCACCTCACATATGGCCAGATTAAACTCCATCTGCCATTACTCTGCCCACATCTGCAACTGATCTCTATCCTGCTGTATCCTTTGACAACCTTCTATACTATCCACAACTCCACCGATCTTTGTGTGGTCTGCAGACTTATTAACCCACCCATGTATTTTATGTTTATTCTGTATTGTCAAGCATGGATGAAATTTGTTTGGAAAACAACTCTCAAATGCCACTTTGAATGAAGATTTTTGACAGTATTAATAAGAATAAAAAAAGTGTACTCTGACAGCCAGCACAGAGACAAGGCTGCAGGATGATAGATTGGGGCCTGAATATTAAAGAGTTTGTGACATTTAGGAAGAACAGGAAAGTAAGAAAAGGTGGAGGGGTGGCTCTGTTTATTAACAATACATTTGCACAATTGGGGAGGGTGTTGGGAATGACCCAAGTTCAGGAAACCAGAACTGTCTGGATATGGATGAGAAACAATAAAGGCAAGAAATCACCAGTGGGAGCGATGTATGGACATTAACTGCTTGATAGGAAAAGATGAGAGTTAATCAGAAATGATACAGCAATAATTATGGGGGATTTTAATCTGCATATAGATGGACAAAGATACCTTAAATTGGAACATCACACAATGTTTTTAGAATAGTTTCCGAGAACAGCATTTCTGGAGCTGACCAGAGGCCATGTTTTAAAAAACCTGGTGCTGTGCAACAAAAGAACCTCATCTTAGGGTGCCCAGGTAGCAGTGATCATAACGAGAGTGAATTTTGCTCAAGAGAAACAAAAAAAATAGGTGCAGGAGTAGGCCATTTGGCCCTTCGAGCCTGCATGACCATTCAATACAATCATGGCTGATCATGCAATCTCAGTATCCCACTTCCGCTTTCTCTCCATACCCCTTGATCCCTTTAGCCACAAGGGCCATGTCCAGCTCCCTCTTGAATATATCTAATGAACTGGCTCCAACAGCTTCCTGTGGGAGACAATTCTACAGGTTCACAAGCCTGAGTGAAGAAATTCCTTCTCATCTCAGTCCAGAATGGCTTACCCTTTATTCTTAGGCTGTGACCCCTTGTTCTGGACTTCCCCAATATCGGGAACATTCTTCCTGCATCTAGCCCGTCCAGTCCCATCAGGATTTTATCTAGTTCCATGAGATATCCCTCATTCTTCTAAATTCCAGTGAATACAAGCCCAGTCAATCCAGTCTTTCTTTATATGTCAGTTCTACCATCCTGGGAATCAGTCTGGTGAACCTTCGCTGGACTCCATCAATCGCAAGAATGTCCTTCCTCAGACTAGGAGACCAAACCTGCACACAGTACTCAAGGTGTGGCCTCGCCAAGGCCCTGTATAACTGCAGCAAGATATCCTTACTCCGATACCCTCAACGTCTCGCTATGAAGGAGATCATGCCATTAGCTTTCCTCACTGCCTGCTGCACCCACATGCCAACCTTTAGTGACTGTTCCAACATGACACCCAAATCTCGTTACACTTCATCTTTTCCTAAACTGCCACCATTCAGATAATAATCCGCCTTCCTGTTTTTGTGACCAAAGTGGATAACCTCACATTTATCGACATTATATTGTATTTGCCAAGTATTTGCCTACTCAGCCAGTCTAAGTCATGCTGCAGCCTCTTAGCATCCTCCTCACAGCACACACTGCCACCCAGCTTCGTCTCCTCTGCAAATTTAAAGATGTAGCATTCAGTTCCTTTGTCCAAATTGTTAATGCATATTGTGGATAGCTGAGGTCCCAGCACTGAACCCTGCGGCACCCCACTTGTCACTGCCTACTACTCTGAAAAGGACCCATTTATTCCAACTCTCTGCTTCCTGTTTGCCAACCAGTTCTCAATTCATTACCTCCAATATCATGAGCTTTTAATTTTCGTAACTAATCTCTTGTGTGGAACCTTGTCAAAAGGCTTTTGACAGTCCAGATAGCTAACATCTGCTGATTCACCCCTGCCTACTCTACTGGTCACATCCTCAAAAAATTCCAGGTGATTTGTCAAGCATGATTTCCCTTTAGTGAATCCATGCTGACTAGAACCGATTCTGTCCCCATTTTCCAAATGCTCATTTATTACATCCTTAAAGATTGATTCCAGCATTTTCCCCACCACTGATGTCGGGCTAACTGGCCTATAATTCCTCATTTTCTCTCTCCCTCCTCTCTTAAAGGATGGAGTTACATCAACTACCCTCCAGTCCATTGGAACTCTTCCAGAGTCTACAGAATGCTGGAAAGCGATCACCAATGCATCTGTTACCTCTAGGGCCACTTCCTTAAGTACTCTGGGATACAGAACATCAGGCACAGGGGACTTATCGGGTTTTAATCCGATCATTTTCCCATTTCCCGACTAATGAGGATTTCCTTCAGTTCCTCCTTCACACTTGATCCTCTGTTCCCTAGCATTTCCTGAAGATTATTTGTGTTCTCCTTAGTGAAGACAGATCCAAAGTATTTGTTCAACTGGTCTGCCATCTCTTTGTCCATTATGAATTCACCTGATTCTAACTGGAAGGGACCTATATTTGTCTTCACCAGTCTTTTTCTCTTCACATATCTGTAGAAGCTTTTGCAGTCAGTTTTTGTTTTCTGCAAGCTCGCTTTCAAATTCTGTTTTCCCTTTCTGAATTAAACCCTTTGTCGTCCTCCTGCTGAATTCTAAATTTCTCCCCAGTCCTCGGGTTTGCTGCTTTTTCTGGCCAATTTATATGCATCCTCTTTGTCTTTAACACTGTTCCTGATTTCCCTTGTTAGCCATGGTTGAGCCTCCTTCCCTGTTTTACTCTTAAGCCAGACAGGGACGTACAATTGTTGAAGTTCATCCATGTATTCTTTAAATGTCTACCATTGCCTATCCACTGTCAATCCCTTAATTATCCTTGGCTAGTTTATCCTAGCCAATGCATGCCTCATACCAAAGTTAACTTTCTTTAAGTTCAAGATCCTAATTTCAGATTTAATTCTGTCATTCTCCATCTTAATGAAGAATTCTACCATATTATGGTCATTCTTTCCTAAAGCATGTCGCACTACAGAGTTGCTAATTAATCCTCTCTCGTTACACAATACTCGGTCTACGATGGGTTACTCTTCTCAATTGGTTCCTCAACAAGGAAACCATCCCTCATACATTGCAGAAAATCCTCCTCCATCACATTGCTGCCAGTTTGGTTAGTCCAGTCAATATGTGGATTGAAGTCAGGCATAAAACTGCTGTACCCTTACTGCATGCATCTCTAATTTCCTGTACACAACTCCCACTAACGTCTTCATCCCTTTGGTGTTCTGCAGTTCCACCTATACAGATTCCACACTGTCCAGGCTAATGTTCTCCCTTACTATTGTGTTAATAGTATGAAAGATTGGGTTCAAGAGTAACATTTTAAATTTGAGGAAGAGATTGGTCCAAGAATATAGAATCTCTACAGTGCAATTAAAGGCCATTGGCCCATCGAGACTGCACCAACCCTCTGAAGACCATCCCACCCTGTCCCTGCAACCCAGCATTTATTATGGCAAATCCACCTAGCTTGCACATCCCTGGATACTATGGGTAATTTAGCGTGGCCAATCCACCTAACCATACACATCTTTGGACTGTGGGAGGAAACCGGAGTACCCAGAGGAAACACACGCAGACACGGGGAGAAGGTGCAAACTCCACACAGGCAGTCACCCGAGGGTGGAATTGAACCTGGGTTCCTGGCGCTGAGAGGCAACACTGCTAATCACTGAGCCACTGAGCCACCATGCCACCTATGGATTTTACACTGCAGAAAGAGGCCAGAGGCCATTCAGCCCATCAGATCTGCACCATTTCTGCAAAGGAGCACTTCTCCCAGTACCATTGTACTGCCTTCTCTCTGTAACCTGCACACCTTCCTTTTAAAAGCCTCGATTGAACCTGCCTCCACCACACTCTCAGGCAGCATAATCCAGACCCTAAACACTCGCTACGGAGTGAAAATCAGCTACAAAGCTGAACAGAAAGTGCCCACTACTCCTTTTGCAAACAGGCAATGTAAGTTGAAGGGTATAACCAGTTGAGCTTACTTTGTCCGAACACTCCCTCCCCAGATACATCACGATAACAGTTTCAGAGGAATTAAAAAAAATTCTGTGATATTGTCAAGAATTACATTTTCAAATGTCTCAATTGACCTTTGAACAGGAGGTCAATCAGTCAGAGACCTACCTCCTTGTCCTCTTGCCGACGTCGACACATTTCCTCAGGGGTCTCCATGCGTTCGATTGGAGCAGACAGCCTTGGAGAGTCTGACTCTACTTGAAGACAACACAAAGTGAGATTAATGCACTGTCACTAACAAAACGGATATGGTTCGCTTTTAAGAGATAGGCTAAAGGTGTGTCCGTACTTAACCTCATTGCAAACTGACCACTAAATGGAGACTCAGAATTTTGTGGCAGTCTATTAATTGAAGTAAATAATAATAGCGAAGCAGGTCTGAGTTGTGCAGAGGTGCCACTGACTGAAAGAGTGCAAGAGCTTGAGAACTCAGGTCAAAATTAATCCACAGAGAATTCCTCTCAAGTTTGTATACATTTACCTGCAAAACGTTAGACCCCTGATCTTGCTACTGATTTACATCTCTCACGAATTATTCTGATTATTATTTTAATTATTCTACCTGCAACCAGTCTCCTCCCTATTTGCCTTTCTCTACTGACTCTCACTGCCTTATTGGAAGAAATCTCTGTCAGATCTCTACTACTTCACAATGGATATTGGTTGAATATTGGATATTCTTTGAGCTAACCAGTGCAACACAGAATTACTACCAAACATACAGAACAAACAGAGAGCCTATTTCAGTATTTGACTCAGGCTCTGGCCTACACTCTCTCCACCTCTCTGCTGGTTACCCACACTGTTCACATCGATCTGAAGGTTTTGGACCCAGATAGAAACGTGGCTTGCAGGAAAATGACTCAATTAGTTATGGAACAGAGAGAGTTTATAATGCTTCAATTTTAAAATTCTAAAGTTTTAAGTTGCCTGTGTCCTCAATCTAGAGAACCTCCTCCAGCTCCACAAAACCCTTCAAGATCTTTGTATTCCACTAATTCTAGCAATTATTTCATGCCAACATTATTCTACCAATTAATTCCTGACTTCTTATTGTAACTGCTCCACCATTCAGCTGCCAAGGCCCTTGGCTCTGGAATTTTATCCCTAAAGATCTCCAGCTCTCCTTAATCCTTTAAGAATGCTCAATTTGAATTCTCAATGTTCAAGTTTTTGATCTTCTGTCACAATCTCACTTTGTGACTGAACATCAAATATGGTCCAATAGCATTCTTGAGAGGAAACCGAGACATTTTATAACGTTAATGAAGTTAGATAAATGCAATTATGGTCAATGCTAAAACTATAATAAACACCCTGTACTCTCTGTCAAGTGCTGAACTCAAACAATGTCACATGTGTACACAGTACGAGTATGCGTATCAAAAAAGTGAGGGCAAGCGAGAGAGCGCATTTGTGTCCACTTGCCTGAGAGTGCCCATAGGCCTGGGGCGGTGTGAGGGTCTGAATGGGGGTAGGTGGCAGCTGACAGCTGACATTAATATGGATGGGGCATGGGAAGTCTGTGGAGGAGCTTGGGACAGTTTTTTGACTCGGCTGTTGCCTTCAAAAGAATTTCGGCACAGGCTGGTGCACTGAGACAGACCTTGGAAGTTGCCTGCCTCGCCTCTGGTTTTGGGGTCACCCATCTGGGATGCCAAGAAACTAGGAACCCCATAATCCCAAGATGCAAATCCATCCTTCCTCTCTGTCTCTGTGCACGTGGATCTGGGAGGATCCAGGTTTGTGTGTGAATGTGAGCGCATCTTTGGGTCAACGCGAGTCTGTGCGAGATGATGAGTGAGGGTACATCTCTCCTCATGCCTGCATCACTGTCCCTACATTGAAATGATGCCATGGGTGTCCATGGGATTGGACAGAGCTGAAAATTTGCTCAGCGCCGCTCAACGGGAACAGATGGTTCAAAGGGGCGAGTTGGGAAATTTCCCCAGTGTGGACAAGGTTAAAATCAGCCACACCGCACACATGATGCCACTGTGACAGGGATTTATGTGCACAGATCCCCATGTAAGTACATGTGCCTACCAACTGTACTGATTGAATTCTGACCCTTCATCTCGTCAGTGCCCACTCCTCAAACTTCACGCAAATTTTGTCAACGTTTCACTCTGGTTGGGGGGAGGCGTGGGGTGGGATCTTTGATACACAAAAACAACCTGCTTGAGAAGGTCAGAAATCACACGATACCAGGTTATAGTCCAACAGGTTTATTTGAAAACACAAGCTTTCGCAGCATTGCTCCTTCATCAGGTGATCAGTTGCTGACGATCACCTTGTGTTTTCAAATAAACCTGTTATTGTGTGATCTTGTCCACCCCAGTCCAGCACTGGCACCTCCCACATCATGGCTACCATCCTCTTAACAGCCAGCTGATGATTGATGCACCAATGCTCCTTGGAAAATATCAAACGGCTAAGGAAAGGAGAATCTAGCGTGAGAACTGGAATGTCACAGGTTACAAAAAGAAAGAGCACAAAATGGAGGAGGGGAGGAGAAACACAACAACAGACAAGATGCCAGTGAATTACTGGAAAGTCCACCTTTCAGGTACATCCCCAGTATATTTTGCCGATTGTTGTTTGGGTCGACCTCATCGAGTACAGCTAACGGAACAAGATTCCCGTTCACAAATTCCCCCGGGAGATCAGGATGCTGAAAGAAGCTGTTATCTTGGCAATGTCCAGTCATGGCCGGGTGGCAGAGCTTTTCCAAAACGCGAAAGGAGACGGTGCGTCTGGGAAGTGTCGGCCCGTGAATGGAAAACGACCCCTGTCTGCCTTGGTTACCAGGCAGACATCCTTCCTCATGGTCCACCACAACGTGGCTACCCAAGTCTGGCTGGGCTATCGGCTTTCTAGGCCTGTGCAGAAAGGGTCTTTTCAGTCGGAATGGCCTTGGACTCAGGAGGTAGAGATTTCTGGAGAGGGGGCTCGGGAGGAGTCGCTGTGTGGCCTGCCTGGGATCCAAGGGGCTTGCGGCCAGTTTCTCGTGCTTGCGGATGGTGGTGAAGCGGGTGTAGGAGGCAGGGCAGGCTCCTTGGCATCGGTTGGTGTTGCGTACGCTCACAGGCCGATCCTTACTGTCCGAGCTGTCAGCCGAGATGGAGGTCAGGCCATCTGCCTGGTCCGCAGCAGGGCATGGCAACTGCGTAACTACCACTTTGCTAAGCTCCGATGCCATTTCTTCAGGATCATTGCTGGAGGTGGAAGCATGCCAGACGGTTATTTGAACATTGGGTTCGGACTTCTCACGGCGTTGTGGTGGGGCCTCCAGCAGAGATTCGGCAGAGTGTGCCGTATGCAGGAAAGGCCTGGAGGGAGGTGGCACTGGGCTCCTGTGTGGCATGGAGCTAGTGGTGGCATCCAGTGCAGGCATTGACCTTGACCTCTGGATGATCTGCTCAAACTCATTGACCTTGGAGGATACCGAATACTCTGGGGCCTGGTCCAACCCATCTTGACTCAAATTCTGCCTGCAGTGGCCTTTCAGGTCGCATTCTAACTGAAACACCATGGCTCTCACCATGGAGGTGGGCAGGGCTCCTGGGGGCAGCGAATGGCCCATCTGGTGGGTACTTTGGCAGATTTTGGTAAAGGTCGGTATGTCATCACCAGAGCCATTCGGAAGCAGACTTCTCCTGGGGTTGATGGGCAGCTCCTGCAACCTTCCATGGCCACTCGAACGAAGGCTGGGCTCCTCGTTTCCAGCCACGAAGAGAGACTCGACACTTCGCCCAGTCTCTTTCACCCCCACTTTCTTGCTGGCGAGTTTGCTGTCGATGCCGAGGAGGTTTTCACAACTCTGGGCCCTCTGCGGACAGGGAGTGTCACCCTCTCTGTCCTGGGGACGGGTGCTCTCTACCCGTAGTTTGGGTTTGAATTTTGAGGGAAGGATTTCTGAAATGCAGGCCTTTGCCGCTGACAAGGGTGTCTTATGTTTACATTTATTACCTAGCATATTACTAGAGTTAACTGGTGTACTATAAAGGGAAGTAGTTGAAATGCTGTGGCCATTCCCACCTTTAAAATCCACTGGTAAGCGTGCAGAGCAACAAAACAGACAAGCATTAGAAAAAAGCAAGCATTAGTAAACAGCTTTAGACATATCTACAGCATTTTAAGCATTCCTAATGGATTACCCAGTTGTTTTAAAGCTTGCCAGTTTGGGTGGTTAAACCTCAGGCCTTTTGAGTGCAGCTCATTCTGCTTCTGACCACTGCATAGTGTCTGTTAGACACATTACAAGGCCAAAAAAATGCAGGCTGTGTGAAATGCAGTCCTTTGTTAGCATTGCTCAGGACTCGTGTCCTAGGTGTTACTGGACCTGCAGTTTTAGCCTTGGGCAATGCCAGCACCAAATAAAATGACAGCTTTAGGAACAAACATAATCAGGTAAGAATGCAACACAATTTGACTTAATGTACCAAGCTCCAGTGGACCACTGCCAATAGAATCTATGACTCATCTGGAAATTCAAATACATTCTCGTTTCTGACTTTACCATTCCCACATGAAATGAATTTGGAGAGCTCCTGGTGGTACGAACATAAGCCACCAGCGTATTCCCCGTTCAGTTCCTGGTGGATATACAAACAGTTAGCTGTGCCATTCAGGCTGAAGATGACAGCTGTGCCAAATGGAAACTGCCAACTGCTGGCAATATAGACAGCTTCTCTGAGGGGCTCCCCAAAGCAAATTATTAGGGCAGTTTTCAGAGATTTACATTACATCCAACTTGAGTGCAACCCAACCAGTTAGTGCGTACTGAACATGGGAATGTGGCCTGAAGGGAGCAGAAATCCAAGTACCTTCTCCTAATTGAATTGACCTACAGTAAAGGCAAATGCTAAGAAAGAAACAGGCAGTCGCTAACCAGCTACAGCACCATCGCATTCTGTTCCTGAATGGATACAAAGTTGACTCTTTGCACTGATCAGGACTAGGAGGCAAGAAACCAAACTTCAAAAGGGAACAACAAATTAAATAATTTGGCTTTATCGCCTCACAGTCTTGATAAGTTGAAGATGAAAAGCTTTGAATTGGTGTCTCTTTTAGCAGCGTTTGCTACTATACGACCAAGCAGTGACTGCTGAATTATTGTGGAGTGAGCTTTGGTGTCTTGGAGCTACTCACCTTTGGTTGACGAGGAGCTGGATGTCCTCTTGCTCAAGCCACTCAATCCCTGGAACGGAATATCTCCCCCTTCCAGAACGGTCTTGTAGATTTGCCTTTCGTTCTCCTGGCTGATTGGCTCCCCTGTGCCCGTCTCCGACTGCCTCCTCACTGCGTGGGAATTGGACGAAAATGCAGAACTGGGTGGGTGGGTGGGTGGATGGATGAAAAAAAGAAATAGCGAATAACTACATGCTGTCAGGATCTTTTTTATTCGACTACTCAACAGATCAGAACAGAACAGCCTCTGACATTTGCAGCAAAACTGCTCTCTTGAAACACTTAGATGACTCATGCCCAGTTTCAAATTTTTAAACAGAAGCTCTGGCGACCTTTATCAGTCAGTAGTTTGATTGTGTAGCCTCGGCTGCTACTGTGAGGGGGATGGTTGCAAAGCTGACTCATTCATTGAGCTGCAAAGCATTTCAGAGATGAGCTCAACTCATTGGAGCTGCTGCAGAGCATTCTGCTTTTGACATCAAGGCCACTGACCCTTCGGGTTGGAAAAACTCTGGAATAACTTGGGTTCCTCCCCACTCCTCTGCATCAACTTGACATTTGGAATTGCATATTTTGCCTCAGAATTCATATTTTCCACAGCTGTGGCCGCATCTGCGTGAGGCAACTGAAATAATCCTACTCAGGGATTTATCGGTGAACTCTCCCACCACTGGGCTTCAAGTGATGGAAGTCTGTACACAGCAATGGTTTCCCACTAATGAAATGGTGTGGGAGAGACAGCACACTCTACATCAAACTCTTCAGTGAAAATGGCTCAATAAACAAAGAGAAGTATAGCACAGGAACAGGCCCTTCGGCCTGTGCCAATCATAAAGCCGTAACTAAACTGAAAGAACAAACTTTCTGCCCTTATTCGGTTCATATCCCTTAATTCCCTCCCTATTCATGTAATCATCCAGATGCCTCTTAAATGTCGCCAGCGTGCCTGCTTCTACCACCTCCTCTAGCAGCGCATTCCAGACTTTTACCACTCGCTGCATGAAAATCTTTCCTCGCACATCTCCCTTAAGCTTTTGTGCTCTCACATCGAACCCGTGTCCCCTTGTAATTAAAACTTCAACCCTGGGACAAAACCTCTGACTATCCACCCTATCTATGCCTCTCATAATTTTGCAGACTTGGATCAATCAAGTCTCCTCTCAGCCGCCATCTTCCCAGTGAAAACAATCCTAGTCTTTTTAACCTTTTCTCATAGCCAATGCCCTCGAGACCAGGCAACATCCTGGGTGAACTTTCTCTGTACTCTTTCCAAAGCTTCGACATCCTTCTGGTAGCGTGGAGACCAAAACTGCACACAATACTCCAACTGCAGCCTAACAAGGGTTTTATATAGCTGCAACATGTTTTGTCAACTCTTGTACTCAATGCCCCGGCCAATGAAGGCAAGCATGCGATATGCCTGTCTCAAAGAAATGAAACTGGACGGATCACCTGGCATCGACCTAAACTGGAAAAGACAACGGCAGATACAGCCCTGTCGACCCTGCAAAGTCCTCCTCAGTAACATCTGGGGGTTAGTGCCCAAATTGGGAGAGCTGTCTCACAGACTAGTCAAGCAACAGCCTGACAGTCATACTCACAGAATCATACCTTACAAACAATGTCCCAGACACCACCATCACCGTCCCTGGATATGTCCTGTCCCACCGGCAGGACACACCCAGCAAAGGTGGTAGCACAGTGGTATACAGTCGGGAGGGAGCTGCCCTGGGAGGCCTCAACATTGACCTCTGGACCCCATGAAGTCTCATGGCTTGAGTTTTCCTTGACCATGTTTAACCTGCTGCTGATTACCACACACTGTCTTCGCTCGGCTGATGAATCAGTACTCCTTCATATTGAATTACACTTGGAGGAAGCTCCAGGGATGGCTAGGGCACAAAATATAGTGTGTGTGTGTATATATACACACGTGTGTGTGTGTGTGTGTGTGGCGGGGGTGGGTGGGATTTCAATGTCCACTACCAAGAGTGGCTCAGCAGCAGAACTACAGATCGAGCTGGTCAGGTCCTACAGGACATAGCTGCTAGGCTGGATCTGCGGCAGGTCATGGGGGCACCAACAAGAGTGAAAAACATACTTAACCTCATCCTTACTAATCTACCAGCTGCAGTTGCATCGGTCCATGATAGTATCGGTAAGAGTGACCATCGCACAGTCCTTGTGGGGACGAAGTGCCGCCTTCACATTGAAAATAACTTCCATCATGTTGTGTGACACTATCACCGTGCTAAATGGGACAGACTTCGCACAGATCTAGCAACTCAAGACAGGGCATCCATGAGGTGCTGTGGGTCATCAACAGCAGCAGAATTGTACTCCAGTACAATCTGTAACCTCATGGCCCGGCATATCCCCCACTCAACCATTACCATCAAGCCAGGGGATCAACCCTGGTTCAATGGAGAGTGCAGGAGGGCATGTCAGGAACAGCACCAGGCATGCCTGAAGATGAGAGGTCAACCTGGTGAAGCCACCAAACAGGACTACTTGCCAAACAGCATAAGCAGCAAGTGATAGATAGAGCTACGCGATCCCACAACCAACGAATCAGATCTAAGCTCTGCAGCCCTGCCACATCCATTTGTGAATGGTGGTGGACAATTAAACAACTCACTGGAGGAGGTGGCTCCACAAATATCCCCATCCTCAATGATGGAAGAGCCCAGCACATCAGTGCAAAAGATAAGGCTGAAACATTCGGAGCAATCTTCAGCCAGAAGTGCCGAGTGGACGATCCATCTCAGCCTCCTCCAGTGGTCCCCAGCATTACAGATACCAGCCAATTCGATTCACTCCATGTGATGTCAAGAAACGGTTGGAAACGCTGGATACTGCAAAGGCTACAGTCCCTGACAACATTCCAGCAATAGTACTGAAGACTTGTGCTCCAGAACTTGCTACTCCTCTGGCCAAGCTGTTCCAGTAAAGTTACAACACTGGTTTCTACTTGACAATGTGGAAAATTGCCCGAGTATGTCTTGTACGTAAAAAGCAGGACAAATCCAACCCGGCCAATTACCACCTCATCAGTCTACTCTCGATCATCAGTAAATTGATAGAAGGTGTCATCAACAGTGCTATCAAGCAGTGCCTGCTCAGAAATAACCTGCTCAGTGATGCCCAGTTTGGGTTCCACCAGGCCACTCAGCTCCTGATCTCATTACAGCCTTGGTTCAAACATGGACAAAAGAGCTGAATTCCAGACGCAATGTGACAGGTATCAACTGCATTCGACCGAGTGTGGCATCAAAGAGCTCTAGCAAAACTGGAATCAATGGGTATCAGGGGCAAACTCTCCAGTGGTTGGAGTCATACCTGACACACAGGAAAACACAGTCGTAGTTGTGGGAGGTCAATCATCTCATCTCCAGGACTTCTCTGCAGGAGTTCCTCAGGGTAGTGTCCTCAGCCCAACCATCTTCAGTTGCTTCATCAATGACCTTCCCACCATCACAAGGTCAGAAGTGGGGATGTTTGCCGATGATTACACAATGTTCAGCACCATTCGTGACTCCTCAGATACTGAAGCAGTCCATGTCCAAATGCAACAAGGTCTGGACAATATCCAGGCTTGGGCTGACAAGTGGCAAGTGACATTCGTGCCACACAAATGCCAGTCTATGACCATCAACAATAAAGAGACAATCTAACCACCACCCCATGGCATTCAATGGTGTTACCATCACTGAATCCCCCACTATCAACATCCTGGGGGTTATCATTGACCAGAAACTCATATGGACTCACCACATTAACAGAGTGGCTACAAGAGCAGGCCAGAAGCTGGGAATACTACAGCAAGTAACTCACCTCCTGACTCCTCAAAGCCTGTCCACCATCTACACGGCACAAGTCAGGAGTGTGATGGAATACTCCCCGCTTGCCTGGATTGGTGCAGCTCCAACAACATTCAAGAAGCTTGACACCATCCAGTTCAAAGCAGCCCGCTCGTTTGGCACCACATCCACTCCCTCCATGACCAATGCTCAGTAGCAGCAGTGTGTACTATTTACAAGATGCACTGCAGAAATTCACCAAAAATCCTCAGACAGCACCTTCTAAACCCATGACCACTTCCATAGAAGGACAAGGGCAGCAGATATATGGGAACACCACCACCTCCAACTTCCTCCTCCAACCCACTCACCATCCAGACTTGGAAATATATCGCTGTTCCTTCACTGTCAAAATCCTGGAATTCCCTCCCTAATGGCATTGAGAGTCAACCTATAGCAGGTGGACTGCAATGGTTCAAGGCAGCTCACCACCACCTTCTCAAGGGCAACTAGGGATGGGCAAGAAATGCTGGCCAGCCAGCAACGCCCACATCCCACAAATAAATAGGAAAAAGTAAATGCCTTCTTAATCACCTGTGTTGTCACTTTTAGGGAACTGTGGACCTGCATGCCTAGATCCATCTCTGAGTGTTAATGTTCCTAAGGGTGCTGCCATTTACAGTATAATTCACACCAAAACTTGATCCTCCAAAATGCATCACCTCGCATTTGTCTGGATTAAACTCCATCTGCTATTGCTGTGCCAAAGTTGCCAGTCTATCTATATCCTGTTGGATCCTTTCACAATCGTCGACACTATCAGCAACTCCATCAATCTTCGTGTCATCTGTGAACTTACTAATCAAACCACCCATACTTTCCTCTAGATCATTTAATTCAGGACCAAAGACTGGTGCCTTTGGAACATCACTAGTTACCAGTCTCCATTCTGAAAAACACCCTTCCACTGCTACCTTGTCTATGACCAAGCCAGTTTTGTATCCATCTAGCCAGCCCACCCTGAATCCCATGCCATTTTAGTATTTGTACCAATCTGCCATGTGGGACTTTATCAAATGCCTTACTAAAGTCCATATAAATTACACCCACAGCTCTTCCATCATTAATTGCATTTGAATTTTTTTAAAGACGTGACAATCAGGTTGCTGAGACACAACCTTCCACGTACAAAGCCATGCTGCCTGTCACTAACTAGTCCGATTTCCTCCAGATGTGCACATATCTTGTCCCTCAGTATCTTCTCCAACAGCTTCCCCACAACAGATGTCAGGCTCACAGGCCTATAATTTCCTGGATTATTTCTATTTCCTTTCTTAAAC